TGGTCCTCTGCCGTGCTGAGGGTGGGGATATGGGGACAGGGCTGAGGGTTGAGGTTTGGGCAGAAGGAGCCTAATGAGCAAAGTTCTTCCTGAGTCTAGCTCAACTAGCAACTAGAGAGCGAGGTGTGCCCTGGACTCCTGGGACCCTGGGGTAAGGGGCCGGATCTGGCTTCTCTGGCCTGGAGAGCCTGTGCCTGGGACTAATTGGCTGGCCCTCCTTCCGCTGCCGGGGAAAGTCTTGTCTAATTTGCCGGAACGCTCTAGTTAAATGCCAATTAGGACGTTCTGTCCACTGCTCTCTTCCAATATATTAATAATGTAATTAAGCATTTATTGCCTGCACAAATTAAAATTTAACTTAAACGGACAGCCTGGAAAACTGAGGAAGTGACCACTTAAACAACCAATTTGCATCTCATTCAAGAATCAGCATCTAAACAGTCTAGGGTGCTGGTCTGGCCTCCCAGCGAGGGGCCCGGCCAGCTACCAACAGCTGCTGGCTTCTTCTCCACGCCTGATTCCCCAATTCCGCCTGCCCCGGCCTCCCCACCCCACCGCATCCTAGGTGTGGAGGATGGGCTTCAACCCAGATGAGCAGGAGGGCTTTCTGCTAAGTGGCCACCTTGGCCTCCAGCATCCCTCCCCCCTTTCCTCAGGGGCGTACGGTGTGGATTTCAGTGGAAGGAGATGCTACTGGTGGTAACAGGGCGGGGGGTGGGGTGGGGTGAAGCCCCTGCCACTCTCACCCACTACCGATTTGTCCTGCATTCCAGCTCAGGAGATGGGAAGCAGATGGTGCTGGAGTTTGGGGGGGGGGAGGTGACCAAGGAAGGAGGAGCCCTTCCCTGCAACCAGCGCCCCCCCCCCCCCCCCGCCGCCGGAGACATCTCTGGGAGAGAGCTGGTAGGGGACAGGTCCTGGCAGTCTCCTTGAAACAGAAGATGAAAGGATCAAGCTCCCCATCTCGCCCCTGTCCCCAGTGTGTCTGACACGACAGGTGTGACACTGCTGGTTTTCCCCTCCAAACGACCGCAGGAGGGGACTTGGCAGGAAAGCGGGACAGCAGGGAGTGGGCGTGAAGGGGGAAATGGAAGCAGCCTGAGCTGTGCTGCGAGGCTGTGGGGCAGGAAGGCAGGGGCTCGGGCCAGCTGGCGGGGGCGGGGGGGCTGCCTCAGCCAGCATCCCCGAGGCCTCCCCGCCTGTGCCTGCCGCTGCTGCCCACCGTTTCCCGTGGGTGGGGCTTCGGGGCAGCTTGTGAGCTGGGGTGAGGTCTCAGGCAGGCCCCTCACGCCCCAGGCCGGCCTCCTGCAGGGGTCTCCGACCTCGCTGTCCCGGAGCCACCCCGGGCGCCGGCTGGAGGCTCCTTGCCCTTCCCTACTGTGCCGGCCGGTCTCCAGCCTGACCCTGTCCCTGCGCCCACGGCGTGGCCACCGCGGGAAGGCGAGGAGTGAGTGGCAGAGGCAACCAGGGTTGTTTTAAACACTTTATTTATAAAAAAGTACATTTTTTTTCCTCAGTACATTTTTCAACCCATCATTTTTTTTTATACAAGTAAAAGGGGGTGATGCAAACACCCCCCGGTTCAGAACCAGGAGAAACTGCTGGGCCGTCCCTGGGACCAAAGACGAAACCATGACGAAGAAACTGAAGGCAAGGTAGCGCGGCGCACTCAGAGGTGAGGGGTGGCAGCTTCTCCTGGATTTTGTTACCGTTTTATACAAAAAGAGGAAACCACTGTTTTCCGGCCCAGAATCCTGTTCCTCGCAGCAGGAGTCGGAGAGCAGTAGCACCTGGAGCAGGGGTGCCTCTGGCCTTCCAGTGGGACAGTAGCAGCGAGAGGCCCCAGGGGCCCTCTCAGGGCCTGCTCCCCCCGGGGCGCCTGAGGCCAGAGAAGAGCTCTCTGTAGGCGCGGGGGCCTGGGAGGGTCCCGCCTGCTCCTTGGTGGGCACGGGCTCCTGGTGGAGAGGTCCGTCTGGGGCCCTGGAGGCCTGTGAGCACCCTCCTCCTCCTGGGCCTCATCCACCTAACACGATTCCCGATTCCTCTGCTTGGAGGATGGCAGAAAAAATTATTGCACCAGTGGCTGGGGCACGTGGGAGGGGGCTGGCAAAGGGGGCACACGCCCGGGGAAACGAGGCCCCCGTGAGTCTCTCTAAGGGCCTGAGCGCTGGGAATTCACCTCTCCCCGTGGGGCTTTCAGCAGGACCAGCCCAGCCCCCTCCCGAGGCTGCGCGTGTGCACCTGTGCGTGCGCCGGGGCACCTGTGCTTGGGTCTGTTGGAGGGGCGTGTGCCCCGCGTGCGCGTGGACTGGGCCTGACGTGGCTGTGCGTGCCTGCTCGAGATCACCGATCCCACGCTGCTGCTTTTCAGCTCCTTCTGATGCAAGGGGACTCAGATGGTTTGTTTACACATTAGAACATTATCAAAATCTTAAAGAAATGGGGGAGGTTAGGGGAGGGGGGCAAGAACAGGGAGGGTAACAAGAGGCAGGGTGACAACTGGGGGATGCCTTGGCACAAGGAATACCAAGTTTATTTCATTTCCAGCAAAGGCAGAAGCTCAGCTCAGGCTGGGGGCATGAAGGAGAAGCGGAACGTCCTCATCTCTCTGCTAGGCCAGACCTCCCCTTTGCCAGTGGGCTTGGGGGGGCCCAGCAGCAGGGCCCACCTTCCCGCAGACTCGGGGCATGGAAAACCCCACCTTCCCAGGCCTGAGTGCGGACCCCTGCCTGCCTCATGCCTACCTTCGGTCCCCAAGTAGCAACTGCCCTGCTGGGTGTGCTGCAGGGTTCTTGGACAGGCAGGAGCCTCCCACATGGCCCATGCATGTGGCATGGGTCCCAGTTTGTGCTTTGCTTGGGGGAAGGGTATGGAGGTGTCTTAAGGGGGACTCAGTGCTTTGGCTGGGCCCAGGGGCCCTCCTAAGTACATCATATAATGAGGAATAGGGGGTGGTAGTGTAGGATACGGGAGACACAGGGGAAGAGTTCTTTCAGTTTCCTGGTTTCAAGAAGACAGAGAATGCCCCTGGGATTTATTTCCTCCTGCCTGGGGGCCAGGAGACCAGACAGAAGGGCCAGAGTGCCGTGAGGTGGGATGGGGCAGTGATGTAACATGGAAAAGGTCCTCTGCCCTGGGGGGGACACTAATACTGCTAGGAGAAGCAGCCCAGCTCCTCTGCCCCCCTCTGCCCTGCGGCAAGAAAGACCCCAGCATGTTCTTCCCCAACTCCACCCCATCCAGCATCCCCAATGCCAAGAGAGGAGAGCTGCCCCAGGGCTGGCATGGCTTCAGACTTCTGCTACGTGGCTACTGGGCAGCCAGGGCTGGGGCGAGGGCAGTGGGGGCCGGGTGAGGGTGGCCCAGCTGGTGGGCCCAGGGTCGCCAGGGCAGAGAGAGGGCTGGCCGGGGGTTCAATAGCAGCACCAGGGAGGGGAGCGGGGTGGTGGTGGTTGGGGGCTGGGGCTCCCTTGGGGAAGCCTATGGCAGGTAGGTCGGTGCCCGTGGGGCACAGAGTGGTCTGCTTCCCTTCCCCCCCAACACTTGCCATCCCACAGAGCCCCTGACAGCCTGGGCTGAGTTAACTGGAACCCTAATGGGCAGGCATAAGCCTGCCTCTCCCATCCCAGGGTCTTTCCTATCTAGAGTGCTGAGGGGACCAGGGTGAGCAGATGGAGGAACTGAGGCACTTTGAACTGGGGGGACCGGAGAGGGCTGGGAGGGGCCTTTCCCCCACTGTACAGACAGGAAGCCCTCGTCCTGGGTGACTGATGGGAATCCAGAGCCCCATTCAAGGAGGGAATCTGTAACTCAAAGGGAAAGCTTTCCCAAGGATCCCCCACTCCCTCCCCCTCCCAGAATGGAGACCAGGTATAGCTGAGCCAGGAGTGGAGAGTGGCGGGCAAGGGCTTCTGAATCAGGATTCCTGGCTACCCTACTGCCCCTGTACTTTCTGGCAAGCCCAGAACATCTGCATTGGCCATGCGGGGGGGGGGGCAGTGGGGTACCAGCTGCACTCTTCAGCATCTGTGTTTGCAAAACTTCTACCGTAGACTCCCTTCCCCATTGCTCTCCGTGGTGGTACTCAGTCACCTCTGACACCTGGACATCCTAGGGAACCCAGCCCTGACTCCCCAGGAGAATCACGCTAGCACTTGACAGATAAGGGAGAAGTCTGAGAAACTCCCCTGCCGAAAGAAGCATTTTAGGGCCAGCCTGAGCTCCTAGGATAGAGGCTCCAGGGGGCCCTGGTCTCAGCTGTCCCCGGAAACTTCTGAAGGTGTCCCCATCCTCAGCTGGGAGGGGGAGAGGTGGAGCAGAGAGGGGTGGGTCCCGGCGGTGTCCCGCCTGCAAGGGCATGTGACCCCAGGGGAACGAGGGGTGGACATGAGTGGTGAGTGTGCATGTAGGTGTCTGCGTCATGTGTTGGTAGAGGCATATGGGAAGCGTGGGCCGGAGCCCCACTGTGTGGGGAGCAGATGGGGGTCAAGAGGAGAGACACACCAGAGCTGGGCCAACTTCACTCTCCGTTGGCCAATGAGGAAAAAAAATGTAAAACCAACCTCACCGGGAAAACACACTGCCCAAGGCCCTGGGTGGGGACCTCAACTCGATTCACGTAACAAGATGACCCTGGGTGCTTTGGAGAAGCATCTCCCTGCCTCTCGGGTGCAATGGCTGTCTAGACCGGGGGTCCAAGCTCCCGGCTGCTCGTGGCAGGGAGGACTGGGTTCCCTCTCCCTGGGAAAAGAGGAGCAGCATCTGGGGATGGGGGGGGTGGGGGGTGGGGCTTTTCCCCTGGGACCCCCCTCGGCCCTCCACCCTGGAAAGGACACAAACAGATTCCAGTGTTGGGAGGTGGGGGAGGGCTGGCTCCCCAAACCCTGGAGGGGCGCCCAGGTACACAAGACGAGAACAAGGCTCCCCGCACAGAGGGCAGGCGGAGGGCCAAGGGAGGAAAGGTACAGCAACACCAAAGCCCACAGTGAACACGACAGCATGGGGAGGGCCAGTGACGGGGAGGAAATCAAAACCAAGCCAGGTCGCATCTGTCCTGGGCTCCCCGCTCCCCAGGAGTGTGGGGCTGGCTTTGGGAAGCTGGGTGAGTCTCTGTGGAGCTCCTGCAGGAGCGGGCGCGGGGATGGGCAGGGGGCGTGCGGGTGGGGGCTGGGGAGAAAGGGGCGCAGACAGAGGCTCTGGAGGGAGGCAGCTACACGTACCACTCCTTCTTGGAAATGAAAGACCCGTCGTTCTGAGAAACCATGTTCTCGGCCAAGTCCAGCTGCTCGGGGTCATACTGGTAGCCCAGAGTCCGGTCCTCGTAGCCGTCCTGACGGGCCTCCGCCTCATCCACGGTGAAGTAGGGCCGCTTGGCGTCCTCGTCGTATTTGGGGTGGGGGCCGCCCACCTTGCGCTCGCCCCCCCCGCCGCCCTCCTCCTCCTCCTCTTCCTCATAGCTGCTCCCGCCCAGGGGCCCGGGCTTCTTCTCATCATCCGAGTCGTCCGGGTACTGCAGGTTCTGGGCCATGGGCGGGTGGTGCTGGGGGATGCCCGCCTTGCTGTAGCCATTGCCGTACACATGCTTCTTGGTGCTGTAGTCGCCCTTGAAGGTGTGCCGGCGCCGGCGCAGGGCCACCACGATCCCTCCGACCACGATCACCACCAGCAGGATGCTCCCCGCCACGCCCCCAATGATGGCCGTGGGCACTGGCCCTGCGCGCCGCCCATGTTCGGGAGGAGACGGGGTGTAGGGGAATTCTGGGGGAGGAAAAGACATGGAGGGGGACAGTGTCAGTGTCTGCTCCTGAGGGGGACTCGGCAGGGGTGGCAGGGAGGGAGGGAGGGAGGCAGGGGATGGAAAGGCCAGGAAGCGGGTCCAAGGCCCAAGGGCAGCTCTGGTTCCGCAGGCTCCTCGGCGCCCCGCCCTCTGGGAGCTGCCACCCCTCGGCGCCCCACCCCTCCGGCGGCCCTCACCCCTCTGGGAGCCGGCAACCCTCCAGGAGCCCAGTGCACCACGGTGTTGTAGGTGGAGCGAGAGGAGAGGCAGAGAGTGCTGGAGCCCCAGAGCCTCCATGCCGGCTTTCTCCTTGGCTGTGGTGCCAGCCCACCCCCGATCCAGTGTCCTCTAGCTGCCAGTCACCATCCTGGCACCCCATGACCTAAGTGTGCTATTACTTTCTATTCAACGCACGACAGGATGAGGCTCAGAGAAGTTGAACCACCTGCCCGAGACCACCAGCCAATGACGCAACATCGGTTCTTTTGCAGGGAGAGCCTGTATGAACGTGGTAACCCTGTGCCGGACACCTGCGGGTCACTGGGTGCCCCACATCTGATTTCACCTGCTCCCCCGGGCACAGGGAAGAGGACAGGCTCCCAGGCTGGTCCCAGTGATGCCCTGGGAGTGCCAGAAACCAGGGCTGTGGTTCTTGGCTGCGGTCTGGCCCCGGAGGGCAAGGTGGGTGCCAAGGGTGCTGGCAGCCTGGGCTAGGAGTGGAAGATGCTCGGCACAGCTGTGCAGGAAGGAGGCGTGAGCGCATGTGAGTACATGGCCACGATCACGCGAACGCACGAGGGAGCTCGTGCCGGGGCACACCCTGGCCCTCATGGCCAGCCCGCGTGCCTGTGCTGATGTGCCGAATGCGTGTGTACAAACGTGCACCCCGACGACAGTGTGGAGACCAGGAGGCAGGAAAGATGGAGAGAAGAGAAAGGAAGTGGGGGGGCGGGGGGGGGAGCCCGGGTGAGGGAGCGCCTGTGCTCTGGTCAGTGCTGCCTCTACCCTCTCTTTCTCCTTACAGGGACTCCCTTGCCAGAGGCCAGAGTGGGGGGGAGGTGAGGCTGAAGGAGGCGGTACCCAGCACCACCACAGGGTGGCACCGGAGACCACGGCTGGCCGTGGTCAGGAGGTGCTGGTGGGCAGGTTCAGGGCGAGCCTGCGAGGGCTGCCCGGCTGTTCTAGGTGCTCTTCTCTCAGGCCCAGGTAAAGGTGTAGGGTTTGGGTATTTATTTTTCTGGTCTCTGGGAATCGGTTCCTGCCAGCTGGATCCCTTGAATGAGCATCACCCGCTCCAAGGGAATTCTGCTCCTCCCGTGAGCCCGTTCCCTCCTCCGGAGAGGAAGCCAGCCCCTGTGTGGGAGTGGGTGCGGTGCTGCCTGCAGCAGGCCGGAGCAGGGCAGAGGCTCTAGAAGGGGAAAGGACTCCTGGGAGTCTAGGCTGGAAGGGGCTCATGAAAACACAGAGGCCCAAAGAAGGGGAGGCGATGTGCCTGCAGTCACACGGCTGCGCAGGGACCACCCAGATGCTCCTGTTCCTGGCCTCTCCACATGCAGGAAGGAGTTGGCAGGGAGAAGGCACAACCAGTTGTCACCACTGTGTCCTCAGCGCAGGTCACCGAGTGACTGCCCAATGAGTATTTACTGAGTATTTGTCCTCACCGCCTGTTTCCAGAACAGTTTCCCGGGAACCTCAAGCTTCTCCTGCTTCACCAGGTCCCATCTGTTTACTGCCTTTAAAAGGGCTGCACACCTGCTCACCATGAAGTGGGAGCTGCCTCCACAAGGCGTGGCCAAAAGGCAGCTATCAGGAACCCAGCCCCCTCTGTACTTTCACCCTGCCGGCTACCTCCTCCGTTCTCACTCTAGATCTGAGTGCTCTCTCTTTTCTAACCTGCCTCTCACTTCAGCCACCCACCCACCCATCTACGGATCTATCCATCCGCCAATCCATCCATCCACCTATCCACCATCCATCCATTCACCCACCTACCCATCCACCAAGCCACCCACCCATCCCTCTACGTATCTATCCATCCATCCACCTACCCACCCATTTACCCATCCAGCCACCTCCCCAATTAACAAACATTTATGGAGCATCTATTTTGCTAGTCACAGGATACAAGAAACTCACAGCCTATCTAGGGAACCAAAGGCCACCCTTAGGGACAAAGCAGCATGCAGACACTCAAGGGCACTGGCAGAGAAGTGCCTCAGGAGTGCAGGGGAGGGGGACCACTGTGGCCTGGAGTTAGCAAAGGCTTCTTAGAAAAGAATTCTTGAAGAATGGCGAGGACTTGGAGAGGCCAAGAGAGTAAGAAAGGCATCCACATGGAGGGACCTACCTTTCCTTTCAAATCTTCCCATCAAATCTTGCTGACTCTTCCTATTCAGTATTTTATCACTTCATGCCAGGTTTTACGGTAGTAGAGTCCTGAATCTCCCACCTCCATTTGGTCTCTGTCCCCTTTTATTCACTCTGTCCAGAGTCACCAGGTTAATTTCCACTGTGTAGACACTACCATTCCCTTTCTCAAAGAGTAGCAATGATGTCCCCAATGCCCGCTGGATCGTGCCAGTCTGGGCTCCAGAACTCCCATCATGCCGCTTGATCTTGGCTTTGGCTAACTCACCATCCTTGCTGTCGACGTTGATTCTTTACTGTAAGCCTTTGCTGGTGCTGTTGGCCCTTCCAGGAATGCCCTTCCTCATTCCCTTGTGCCCATTTCTGTTCCTTCAAGTTTTCGAATGGCTACAATTCTCCTTCTTTTTTAGGAACGAGGAGAGGGGTTGGGGAAGTGGCAGCCTCATGATAATCTGGGACTGTTTCTATTCAGGTGTGTTGCAGTTGTGTGCAGTCTAAGTTCCGTTATATTTATTTTTATGCTTTCTGTGACAGCAGAGACCCAACGAAAAAATAAAGCTCTCCAACATTTTACTGGACTAGACTGAATTTTTTGGGCCCCACTAATCCCAGTATGGTAGAGTTTGCTGTATTATCTGTTTCATGAGAGTGGCTTATGTCCCAAATTAAGTCTGTAAATCGAATTCAGAGTAAATCTAGAATCTGACCACTTTCTACCATTGCTCTGTGTCTACTCCATCACCTGTCACCTGCATTAATTTTTTTTAAGATTTTACTTATTTATTTGAGAGAGAGAAAGAAAGACAGAGAGACTGAGAGAACGTGTGGGAGGAGGGGCAGAGGGAGAAGCAGGCTCCCCACCCAGCAGGGAGCCCGATGCAGCCTCGATCCCAGGACACCGGGGTCATGACCTGAGCCGAAGGCAGACGCTTAACGACTGAGCCACCCAGGCGCCCCTGTCACTTGCATTATTGCAACAGCTGTCTAACTGGCTTCCCTGATTCTACCTTTTCCTTCTAGAGATGACTTTGAACACAACAGCCAGAGAAACTGTTAAATCAGTTTAAAATGGCCACATGACCTGTGCCTCTGCTCCCCATCTCTGATTTCATCCCTCGCTTTCCTCCTGGTTCATTCTTCTCCAGGCTTCCTCAGGGCCTTTGCACAGGCCGCCCTGCACCCCGGCAGACACTTCACCTAGGTGTCCCATGGCCGCCCCCTCACCTCTGTCAAGGCCTGACTCAAACTTCTCACAGAGATCCCCTTCTCGCCGAGGCCTTCCTTCCCTGATTGCCCTATTTCAAAGCGCAGCTCACGAACCCCGCCCCAGCCCTTGTGACCCCTTCCTTGATCCTGCTCTTCTTTGCTCCATGTCACTTTCAAAATGACCACGTGATGCTTCCGATGTATTTCTTCTGTCGTCTGCTCTGTGTCCTTCTGTACTAAAACACTCACTGCAGAGGGACAGGGACTTTGGCTCATTGATGTATTCCCAAGCACCTCGCCTGCCTGGCAGGTGGCTGGAGCTCAGGAATATTTGTTGAATGAATTCTGTCAAGGCAAGGCTTGTCTTAGAGGTGAGCCTCTGGGTGTCTTTCCCCTTTAGGTCCTTCTGTTTCACTTTCCTCCCCCCTAAGCCCGAAGGAGGTTTACTCTTCCCTGGGGAACTTTTGGGACCAAGGGGAACCCTGGTGCGTCCAGGTCTGCCTAGAGGTAGAGGATGGCGGACTTCAGAGTGCAGACGCCGGGTGAGGGTGCAGAGGGAGGAGACAGGAGGGCCTAGCTCGCTGGCGAGCAGAGGCGGCTACTTGTGTGGAGTGGAGCACTGGTCCTCTCTGTCCTTCCAACGGTCACACTCAGCACCAGCAGCAGAGCCTCAGGGGCCTTGGCCGACCGGGGAGAGAGCAGCTGGGGCGTGGGGTCCCTCCCGGCCTCCCTCACATCGTCTTACAGAGGGGGCACCCCCATTCCCAAAGGACTGCAGCCTCCCCTCTGGGCTGGTGGGTGGGCCGGGCCCCTGGGGGCGGCGGCAGGGCTCAGCATCCCTTTGCCACTGTGCTTTCCTGACTGGGGTGGGTGGGCCGGTCGGGGGGCTGGGGACGGGGCTGAGGCGGAGGGGAGGCCAGGGTTTTCATCTGGAGCCAGGCCCCGGAGGAGGTTTGGGGTGGAAGAGAAGGTAGGGGCTTGCTTCGGACCCGAGGCTGGAGCTTCGGCAGGCAGGCAGGAGTGCTCTGGCCCTGCGAGGGGGCCGGCAAGCTGGGTGCACTACACCTGTCAGGGTGTAGGGCGGTGGCCGCAGGCCTGACGTCAGGCTCTGGGGGGCCCTCTGCTTTTGGAGCGGCTGCCGGCAGGCCACTGGGCAGGGCCCCATCAGGCTGGAGCAGAAGCCAGTCCTCCCAGGGGCCCGGATGCAGCTGCCTGCGCACTGACAGCCCAGCGCACTGCCATTCATCAGCCTGCAGAGAGGCACGACCGCCCACGGCACAGCCCCCCACCCGTCTGCACACGCAGCATGTGGACAGGTGCCCACCGGCTTGCCAGCGCACGTTTACACGCTCAGAGACACGCTCCCTTGCAGGCTCACACACACTCTCCGTTCCAGATGAACCCCAAAGCCCCACCAACACTTGGTGACAAGAACTCCCAGTCTAAGAGGGGGACCTATTACCTTCACCCTCCAGTGGTCATGCCCAGTGGATGCGCCCGGGACTTCACCGGAAGCCGGGACTGGGGCAGACCCCTCCCTCTCTGCTCCTCCTGACCACCCCAGTCCCAGGGATAGATGCTGCCCCATTTGGCCTCTTGAGTCTGGTCAAGGCCACACCCTGAGCACCTCTCCCTACTCTCTGCATTACCCCCAGAGGGAGAAGGCAGGGGAGCTCACTGGTTTCTTGGGGACTCCTGGGCTAACCCCGTGAAATGCTCCTCATGGGCCCCTGTGAGGGCCCCAGGCCCCGCGGACATGTACGCACAAGTTCTGGTGAGTCTGTCTCCCTACCCCCATGGCTGCGGCCCAGGCCTGCTGCTTCCCACTAGGGACCCCCTCCCTGTACAGCCCCTAACTGGCCCCTGCTGCCATCCACACAGCCTCTCAAATGCTTGGTCTCAGCCCCCTGCCTCACCACGCTGCCTCTCTGCCGAGAACCCTTCAGAGACTCCCCTTTGACAACACAGAGAAAGCCCCGCTCCTTCCGTTCCTGCCCACTTGGCTCCCGCCATTTTCCTCCCACAAGCTTCCCCTGCCGGCGAACCCCCACCCTCCATCACTGCCCACTCACTCATCCTTGTAGGAACAACTCAAGTGCCACCTTCCCCACCTTCCCCTTCCCCACCACCCGGGGCCCCGAGAAGCCCGAGCTACCGTGTGTCTGTGCGGGTGCAGTGCCCCGCACACGCACGTGCCTTTGGCACACACCCTGCTGCCCGCCGCCTCCCCCTCCTGCCCCAGCTGCTCTTCATTTTCCTCTCCAGATGCGCCCAGGGCAAAGCTATTACCCGAACGGATGGCCAGGATAAAAAATTAAATTTCTACTTATCCGTCTCACTCATGCATTCCCTCCTGGCTAGCGGGGCTTGGAGCCCAGGGCATGGCTGTGTCCCTCGGCCTGGGCCCCCAGAGAACGCGACAGACACTAGCTGATGCGGGATGAGGGCTGGTGGCGTTGGTGGCTGCTCGGAAATTGTGAGCACAGGAACACACAGCTCTGAAAAGGCTCAGGCTTTCTGGCTGAGCCCTCCAGAGGGGCTGCGAGATCGTCCCTCCTTCCCTCGGGACGGCCGGCGGAACAGCTCCTGGGCCCATCAATGATTCAGTGAGTGTCACGCTTCCCTGGCTTCTGCCTAACTGGGCTGGCAACAGGAGTGTCCTTACGCAAGGCCCTTCTCACCACCCACGTGTGTGACTTTGGTTGCCACCCCTGCCCCGCTCTGTGCCTCTGGGGAGCACAGGAGGATAGGCTGTGTGCCTCTTCCAGTTGGAGCCCTGGGCAGCTTGGCCCCCCTCCCCGCCCACAAGGCCAGTGAGGCCTGACCACAGATCCCATGAGGGGAACCACTGCAGCCATCAGCCCCCAGGAGACGGCCCGCCTCCACAGCGGGCTTCTTTCCTCTTTGTTCTGTAGCCCGGGCCTGGGAAGTGCCCCCTTCCCTTCCTCCCTGCTCCTGGACCTGGTGTGACTCCCTGATGAGCAGCCCTGCACTCCTGGGCATCCTGCATCCTACTGAGCTTTGGGAGAAGGGATGCCCTGACTTTGCTGTCCCAGCCCTGCCTCTGGGGCTGGGTAGCACCACTTGGCCCCATAAACCTAGAAGGGCCTCTGACTGGTCCACTCATGCCAGGGGTACTGGGCGATCGCTGCTCCCAGGTTTCTTGGCCTCCTCCCATGATTTCCCAGTCCGCTGTTTCCCCAAAGAGCCCGAGTAGTGGAGGGTGATGGAGTAGTGGTGTCTGTGGTCCACCACTGGGGAAGGTACCCCCACCCAGGGAGGGCTCGGTGTGTGCGAGCTACTGGAGCACGCATCTGGCCAGAGGTAAGGGTGATGATCTCTGTATTACAGACTGAGAGAAGAGCCACATACTGAGGCCCGTCTGTGTTGTCCCTCCAAGGAGACGCCTCGCTGGGGCATGGTCACGCTCCCTTACCAATACTCCTCATCCCCGTGTGCCCCTCGGCCTGTCGGCCAGGGCTCGGGCCCCTGTGAGGCTCCCACTGAGCTTGGCCCACATTTGGAAGTGTGTGATTCTGCCCTTCCCTCCGCCCCCCTTAAACCTTAGCCTGGAGGACGGGCTGCCTTAGCTTTGCCCAGCTCCACCTCAGATGCTTCTACTACCTCAACCAGTCAGAGATCCAAGGGCAGGGGGTTGAAGAGAGCGGCAAATGACCGGTGACTCCCCCTTCCCCAGTGAGGGTGTGACGGAACGGCCCCGACGGCAGGTCGGTGCAGACCCCGGACACCGTCAGGCTGCTCCTTAGGCAGCTGTACCTGGAACGTACCCACAAATGAGGTCTCCGACATCTGAGACACAGGCCCAGAGCTAAGGCCTCTCCAGGGCGTGCCCAGGTCCTGTGCCTGCCATCCAGTAAGCACGGCTCAACTTCCTACACTCCCCAGCCTGGCTCAACATCTCTCTGAGGTCACTTCCCGCGCACGATGTGCACCCCCGACGTCACTTCCTGTCCATCTCGGCAGCAGCATGACACCACTTCCTGTCCCAGGCGGTTCTTTCTGTCACTTTCTTATCCTGCGACCAGCTCAGCTACAATATTAAAGCCACCCCCTCTTCCGGCTGTGAACTCGTGATGGCAACTGTACCCCTCTGTTGGCTTGTTTTGATCCTTCCATTAATCATGATAATGATAGAGATCGAGATCATAATCACAGAGCATGGGCCATTTATTGACAGACTGCTGGTCTGTGCTAGGTGCTCGGCCCACATTTTGTAAATTCTGACAACAAGCCTTCCACGCACCTCGTCTTATCCCCATATCCAGAGCATTGTCCACGTCCCAGCTGTCGGACAGTGACGTCCGTGGCTCCTGTCATGGCCCATGGGAGGCCTCCCCCAGAACATCCTAGCTCCTGTGCTTCCTCCCTTGGCCCCGAGAGGTCAGGGGGCCGAATCTCCTCATCCGCACTGACACAGAGAAAAGTGCAGGGAAAACAGCAATTCAGTCGAGGGCACATGACCACCAGGGCTCCAGGCCATCTCCTTGTTTTCCCTCCGGTGTCCCTGCCGCCCCCGTGGGTTTCCTGAGCTGCAGGAACAGACGAGCTCCACCTGCCAGCATCAGAGGACATGGGCAGGCTCTACCACCGTTCCCCACTGTCCCCCGACCCCCAGAAGCATTGTTGCAAATGGCACTTACTTCTTCCCTGCCGGAGCCTCCCTCTGACCCCTCTTTGATCGGGGGTCACCCTGTCTCACACACAGCCTTGTAACAGAGAAAAGAGAAAAGCAAAGCAAGGCCAATGGCCAGAGCTCAAGGGGGAACCAGAGGAGAAAAGAGGAGACACAAACTTCCTGCATGACACGAGCCAAAGGTGGGGGCGACGTCGGCAGTGGAGGAAGCAGTGGGTGGGGGGAGAGTGGCCGGGCAGGGGGCAGCTTCCTACCTGTGATGTTGACCTCCACCTGGCCCGAGCGCGTGCCAATGGGGTTGGTGGCCTCACACACGTAGGTCCCTGCCAGGCTATAGTTGATGGGCCCCCTGAAGAAGAGGGTTCTGTTCTGGGCCTCCACGCCCTTGGGGAGAGAGCCATTCAGCCTGGGGGGGATGGGGAGACAGGGCAGAGGGTTAGGACTCTCCAGCCCAGAAGCTGCCTGGGTGTCACCCACCTGCCTCCAAGACTCCCAGCCCTTTTGCTGAGCGAATAATGGGCAGGGTCTGTCTTGGAAGAAGGACAAACAACCACAACAATAATCTCTTGCGTTTCACACTCGATGGTCCCCGCACTGAAACGCAGACAGGACAGGAAGGTACTTGGTCCCACGGAACAGATGAGCAACTCTTAAGTTCGAGGTCAAGGAACACAGCTGTAAGTGACAGAACTGGAGTCCTAGCCAGGTCTTGGACTCCTGGCACAGTGCTCTTCCGGCTACTCCGGGTTTCTTGGGTTGCTGGTTTAACAAGCTGCTCAGGTAACCCCCATGTGGAGGAATCGTGCTCCATTTCACTATCTCATTGTCTCGCTGGACACATCACAGGCCTTTTTCCTGGGGAAACACAGGGGGACTTCCTCCTGACCCACGGAGCTACGATTCTGTTGGACCCAGCAGCCCCAGGCGCACACAGCTGAAACTGGCAAGCCGGCCCTGGCCACTTGCACCTTCCAGAAGCACTTCTGGTTCCAGGAAGTGGATGGAAGGTGAGAACTGGCTGGGGCATGCTGGCGCCTGCTACCTCCCAGAGAAAGAGTAGACACAATGTGGGCAGCCATCTCCTGGCCATCCGCGTCAACCTGCTTCTTGGCTTCCCCACGCCCGTCTTTCTACGTGTTCCATCCAGCTCTTCTCTGGGAAGAACCTTGGCTCAGGCCGTCAGCGTCGGCGGGAGGGGCGGACCGGACCCTTTGAGGGCCAGGCTCAAAGACTGGGAAGCCAAGAACCAGAGGATGGGATATGGGACAAGCACGCCATGAACACAGGCATGCTGGGCTGACGGCTGCCCTCTCCTTGAGAATCTGGGGGTGCTGGAGAGAAGGAACGGGAACAAAGAAAGATCTGGGATGCTCCAGAAAGCCAGCTTCCCTGGGGACACCTTGATAAAAATAAATACCGGGGGCTGGGGTGGGAGTGATTCACTCAAGACTGAATCACCAAAGGAAAACGACAAAATTCTTTTATTAGGGAGAAGAAAGCAGACAGATTATGAGGGAATACCCCTCTGGCAGAATGGTTTGTCCCGCTGACCCTGCTGCTGGTAGACGTGGGGGTGTTACGTGTGGCCCCTCGCGGCCCCTCCCCTTGTCGCTGAGAAACCTGAACCGAGACCCTACTTTCCTCCCCAGTTAATGCTCCTGGAGGTGGGGTGGGGCAACTCCCTGTGACCAGCCAGGTACCCTGCCGGGCTACCGGCCAGCCCCAGAGCACTTACGTGGTCCAGTGGTACTCGGTGGCTGGGGGGTTAGCATCGGCTCTGCACGTGAGCTTCACGTCCATTCGCTGTAGGTACCAGTTCCCATCAAACCCCTCGATGGTCACCTCAGGCTCATCTGTGGGGCAAGGGATGATGTTTTGAGAAGGGGGAGGTCAGGAGAGCAGGACTTGGGGTGAGGGAGCCTCGGACAGGGAAGGGAGGGGGGAGAGCAGTGACATGGAACGAGCTGGAAGACGGAGAGAGAAAGGGGGAGGGAGGGGATCATGGACCCTCAGAGCAGCAGAAGCAAGGGGACTGAGGAGGTATGAGGACAGATGAGCCAAGGGAGGAGAGGGGGGAGGAGATGGGGGAGATGGGGGAGGAGGGGGGGAGATGGGGAGGAGGGGGGAGGAGATGGGGGAGGAGATGGGGGAGGAGAGGAGGGAGGCCGAAGCACCCCCAGGGAGAGAGAGGGAGGGGGAGGCTAGAGGGGCCAGAGAAGGAAGGGGCGGGGGAGAGCGGCGGGAGAGAGAAGCAGAGGAGGGGGGAGGGCTGGTGTGGGTGGGTAGTGGGGGGGGACAGCGGTGCCCACCCCAGGAAGCCGGCCCGCATCGCGCCCCGCTCACACTGCACGTTGAGGGTGAGGCTCTCCCGGAAGCGGTCCATGTGGTAGTTGACAATGCAGGCCAGGGACTGCTGGTGGGCTTCCCGGCTGGGCACCAGGCGGTAGCGGCTGATGACAGTCACCGTGCCGTTGGGGTTCCGGATCTCCTGGTACTCCGCTTCGCCCTTCAGGCGTGTTTCCCAGGACACCACGCTGGGAGGCTTCCCATTGGCCGAGGTGCAGGTGGCCACCAGGACCTTATTGTCCTGCCCCTTCTTGGCTCGAAGCACTGCCTGGGTACCCTCTACCCAGTTGGTGGGTTTGGCTGCGGGGAAGTGGAGAGCGCCATGGGACCAGCTCTCCTGCCTCGCCCAAGGTGTGCGGGTCCAGGACGTCCCCCTGGCCATCCTCACCTCTCAGCTGTGCAATTCTCCCGGGACTGCTTTGCACCTAACCTACGTCCTCCCTGCTCTATGGCTGGCACCCGCTTCTGTCAAGCAGAGGCCTTCTTGGAGCCTCGGCCTGCTCAAGGACAGTGGCTCATGCGGCTCTTCTCCTTACCGTGGTGTCTGAAGCTTCTGCTTGCTTCCTGGTCACCCACAAAGCACCTTGGTGGGGAGGGGCTCCAACCTGAATCCTGATCTTCAGCTCTGTCCAACAGCTAATGCCCTGCCCCCAATCCCTAGTGAACTGTGGCCCAGCCCGGCTGGAAGGGACTGGAAGCGCCATGCGAACCCAAGCAGAACGATGGGGCCATCGAGGCACGCGTCGAGAATGGCCAAGCCCCAGGCCCCAGGCCTCTGCACGAGCAGGGAGGGAGGGGGTTGGGCCAGCTTACCCATCACGGTGAGGTTGAGCTGGCTTTCTCGATTGCCGGCGGGGAAGGTGGCGAACTCGCAGATGTAGACTCCCTCGTCGTCCAGCTCCAGGCGGGAGAGGCGGATGGTGCCGTCGGTGAAGGAGGGCCGCAGAAATTCCACGCGCTCGCGGTAGGGGACCAGCACGGAGACGCCCATGGCTGGGTTGTAGATGGCCACATTCTGCTTGGAGCCATTGGTGGCCTTCTGCCACGTGACCTGGGTGATCTTCACGCCGGGCAGCGGGTTGGCAAAGCTGCAGTGCAGCACCACATCCGTACCGATGAAACCGTACATGGAGTCGTTCACCTGGACCACCTGGGCGTGGGGGCCTGGGCAAAGGAGACGCGGGCGGTGGTCAGCGACAGGCGCGGCCCCCCGCCCGGACTCCAGGGGCGCTGCTCCTTCCTCTCTAGCAGTATTACTCTTCCGAAGCTGATCATAAACATAGTAATTGCTTGTAATAAAAGCACTCTGGGTGATACTGAAAAATACCGAGAAGAAAATGGCACCACCCTGGATCCCGCCACTCAGAAATATCACTGATAATCTTGCAGGAAATATCCTCTTTTACTTTCTTCTCTTTACATTATTTCCCTATATTTCTCCGCATGACCATCTTTTCTTTTACTCGCACCAAGGGAGAATCACACACTGTACGTATTGTTCCGCAAGCTGCCTTTTCACTTGGCGATACATCGTGGGTACCGCCTCACGGCAGTAAATACACGCCCCCACCCTTGTTTTTGATGAGGAGGGTCGAGTGCACTGTTCTGCTGGGAGCCCCCAACCATGTCACCTTCCTGGGCCTCAGTCCCCTTCTGGCAAATGCGGCATAAAATCCAGGCCTCCACCTCACGGGGTTGCTAGGAGAACCAAATGGGACTAAGGAGAAAGTGTGTCAGGAGGAGACAGGAAGCGCTGCCCACATGGCTCACGGTGGCCACCATGATGGCCACCCCCATTAGGTCTTCTCCCTTAAAGCTGAGTGCCCACGCCCTGGGGGGACATGGCTCCATCCCCTCACCCAGCCAGGCGGGGAGAAGCAGGTACTGCACAAGGCGCGGCCTCCCCTGGCTCCCGGCTGCCCCTAGTCTAAATGTCTTGGCATTTGACATCCCCATCTATATCCTGCCTTGTTGTCCACATCTCTCCATACGTGATGCCCTCCAACCATGGCAGCCTGGGCCCCTCCTCAGAACACGCCATGTTCCTATGTTCCCTTCCTCCCTCTCTTCCTCCTCCTAACATTCCTAGACTCTTGCTCATGCACTTCCCTAGAAGGCCCTAGAAGGCTCTTCTCCTCCTCCACCGATGGATCTCCCACTCAGGCCACCCCCTTTGGGAAGCTTCACAGAACTTCCCCGAGCCCCCTCTGTTACAGATCTTTTCTGCCTTGGAATGTGGTCGTTCACGCCTCTGACTTCTCCACCACAGTGGAATCTGTCCTTTCCCATCACCACATCTCCAGTGCCCAGCCCAGGGCCTGGCACACAGTAGGTGCTCAGTAGGTGTTTGTTGCCAAATTGCAACGGAACCCACGAGAATAGAGATTTGCAAGGAGGGAGTGATCAGTGGCATCGGATGAATGAATCAATTCCCTCTAGTCTCCTCACCGGTTGTTTTATGCCCACTAGAAGGGCTTGTTTGAGCTTCGCCCTAACCCTGAACTCGGGGCAGCCATCCCCTCCGGTGGGTCTCTCCAGGGCTCATTCCTGAGCTCTGTTACTGGCCGTGCCTCTGTACACTTTGTGTTGTCACATCCTTACTGCACTCCACTTATTGAGCACCATCAGCACTATCTTTTTTTTTTTTTTTTTAAAGATTTTATTTATTTGACAGAGAGAGACACAGCGAGCCAGTGAACACAAGCAGGAGGAGTGGGAGAGGGAAAAGCAGGCTTCCCGCAGAGCGGGGAGCCCGATGCGGGGCTCGATTCCAGGACCCGAGCCAAAGGCCGACGCTTAACGACTGAGCCACCCAGGCGCCCCCCATCAGTACTATCAATGCCAGGCCCTGGACTGACCCAGAGGCAGGGGGATGGCCTCAGTGATCCCCCAAGGGAGCCTGGGGTTCAAGACTGGAAACTTGGGGCTCCTATTTGCCCCTGCATGATGGAGACACAAAAGCAGGGCATGCTCCTCTGAGGGCTTGGGAGACCATGGCAGGTGAAAGCTCCTTCCCTCAGGAAGGTACCGGCATGTCTGCTAGGTCCCTGCAGTACCCTCTGTGTTTGATAGATAAAAATGTATTCAAAAATGCTTGCTGAATAAATAGGTCTTTGGCCCCTTCGAGCCAGGCCCTTGCCATGCTCTGGAAGCTTCCCTGATGTTCCCCTATCACATGCCTGTTCACAACCACACAGACCCTTCAAGGCCCACCTGGGGTACCCCACTCCGTCCCCTCCCTCTGTCCCCTTGGCCAGTCTGTGGGGTTCTGACATGTCCCTGGGCAGAGAGCACTGCGGGCTGGCTGGAGTCCAATGGAGGAAGCATCCATCAGGGAGTCAGGAGAGTTGGGTTCTGCTCGGCTGCAACTTGAGCTGGTCGTGGGCCCTGGGCCAGTCACTTACCCCTCCTGAGCCCTATTTTCCTCCTCTATAAGGAGCAGGCTGGACTCCCCCAGTCCAGCCCCTTCTGGCCCTGAGTCTGAGTCCCTGAACTGCAGCCCAGCCCCGCTGGGGCCCCACCCCAGATAGAGTCCCACGGTGAGGTCAGTGGGCCAGCCAGTGCTCCTGCTGACTGGCTAGCTGGCAAGCAGCTAGGCCCTAGGCCCTCCCAGCAGGGTAAGCGGGTGCTCCCTCCCCCATTCCCCAGCCTTCACTCACCAACCTGCTGGAGGTTGCCCAGCAGCTGAGATAATGTGGGTATAATGGGGGAACTTTCACCACACAAAGCCAGAAAACAGGAAAAGCCAGTTGGGAGGGCTTGGGCCATAGGTTGGGGGTGGGGGCACCAGGAACCATCTAGGGATTGGTGCCCAGGCACGGTGGGGCCTATAGCGGGACACAGCCCACCAAGCCTGCCTTGACCCCATCTCCTGTCACTCCTCTGCAGGTGTGGGGACAGGCAATGTTCAGCACCTGGCATACACACTACCATTCATTTGCTGTGTCTTCAGCAGTGACCTCACCCTTCAGAGCTGTGAATACCAGGAGGGAAGACCGCTGACAGGGGCCTGGGCGTGGGGGCGGGGTGGGTGCTGCAAGGGGCTCGGGCGCCCCAGCAGCCCTGTCTTGTCCATCAATACCTAACCAGACCAAGGCAGCCCTCCCCACGCTAATGCCTGTTTTGGGGTTAAGGCCCCCTCTCCTCTCCAGAGGCAGCCCCATGGGGGGCCAGTGAGGAGGGTGCCTGGCACGCCCACTCACTGCGCACAAAGCCGGTTGTCCTGGCCCTTGCCCCTTCTGCCCTACTGATGAGTGGGCAAGCCAGAGTGCGGGAGGACCTCTAAGGAGCAGGCCGACTTAGTGTGATGTTGGCCTCTCTGTCCACAGTCCACTGGGCACAAGGGAGCTCTTTGGGTACAGGGTTTGGGGTCACTCCCTGCTCCCAGAGTTCTGGAACTGGGAGGGGCTGGGGACACTGGCAAGGTCTGAAGACCCTCCCTTCGCCCTCCACCCCACTCCAGGCTTAGGGACCCAGAACCCCGGCTTCTGGCTTGGGGCTGTCAGTCTTGGCCCGAGGATGCACGGTTGGGGAGATGCCCCTCGTTCTTTAGATTGGGCAGACTGGGAGGCTTTCAGAGAGGGGGGCGCACCTCCACTGGTTGGGCAGCAGGGTCAGAGTGCTGCAGTGAATGGGGCAGTGGGGATCTCCACTGAAAAGGCAGAGAAAGGGCTGGATCAGGGCAGTGACCCAGGAAGAGGGCCCCCTCCTCCGTGCAGGAAGAGGGGGACCATCAGCCTCGTCTGGAAGGCTCGGGAGAGGAGGTGCAAACAGGAGGACAGGCCTGTCTAAGCTTCTCCACCAACCGCTCTGGTCTCGATGACCTGGAAGCTGGTGCTCCTGTCTCCCGACACGGCCTGAGCTCCTCCCACCCTCTAACGGGTTGTTCCATCTCCTCCCCGCTTCGGGCAGTAGGTGGGCTCCTGAAGAGTCAGACAGTGGGGCTTTGCGTTCTCCCTCTGTCATGTCCGAGCTGTGAAACCTTGGGCAAATGACTTGACCTCTCTGTGCCTCAGTTTGCACTGAGGCTGCACATCTGTAAGATGGGCCTAACAGTGGTACCTACCCCCGTGCAGTTGTTCTCAAGAATTCAGTGAGTACATGTGAAACTAGAGAGCTTAGCGCACTTAGGACAGAATTAAACGTGCAGTAAATGTTAGAGGCCATCATCACCACCGCCATCACATCTGTATCCCTTCTGCTTTCCTGGCATATGTGTCTAGCGCATTTCCCGGTGTGTGTCCCCACCGACTCCCAGCAGATTGCGAATCCCTGTGTGAGAGGGAAGGCACGGGTTTGACCTCGGGTTGAGCTGACCACACCACGGCTCGCTGGCGGGATCCAGGGCTCGGAGACTAGCCCGCTGACTTTCTCTGGTTCCCCAGGCCATCCACACGAGGCACTGTCTGTCCTTCCTCACAGGCCCGCTCTTACGTGAGAAGTGGGGGCTGTCCCAGATGTGGGAACCGGGACCACTAGAATGGTAGCATCCTGGAGGCTCAATGGACGATGTAATGCATCATTTTACAGAGGAGGAGTCCAGGGTCCAGAGGGGTTGGGTCACTTGCTTGGGGACGCAGAAGAGCATAATCCAGCCTGGTGCTCTTGCCACCCTGCCTTTTTATAAGGGACTCCCAATCTCAGTGTAACTCCGCAGGGCATCATTCTGGGTGGTGTCCCTCCCAGAATGTGATCTCAGAGCCTCTCTTGCTCCTTTTGATAAATGGCAGGAATACCGGTTACAAAATGCAGTCACAGTGCCTGCAGGCCACTCTCCACTGGGCTTGGTGGGTGGGGGTGGGGGGCAAGAGGCTGGGGGCCAGGGGTGAAGCCCAGTGGGAGCCCGGGTGGGGGTACCTGCAGGACGGACAGAGCAGGAAGGAGCCAGAGAGGTGGGAGTGAAGGGGAGAGATCCTGGGACCCCCTGCCCTCAGTAGAGAGGTTCATGTATGCCAGGGATATCAAGCAATGTGTTTTTCTTTTCCTGACCTCAAGCACTGCCTATATTCTCCCTGACTACCCTATGAGCTCCATGGTCTGGGGCCCGTGCACAAGTACCTCAGTTTCCCCATTAGAGCTCAGGCTGGGCAGCTGGGACTGCCTTCGTGGCTTCCCAGAAGTGCTGAGCCAACAAGGCAGGCGTCGGGCCGGCCCCCCGAGACGTC